GGTTTAGACTACCCGTGTGTGTCTGCTACAACAGCAGCTGTAACTGTCCAAGGGTAAATAAATAGATATTCTGGAGAGAGCCCATTATCTGTCATGGAATGCTGATACAGTCTTGCCTTGTATTTATTGCCTACTTAATGGACTTGATTGTATTACTGAAGGTAAGGAGGAGGGGGAAAAAAGTCCATTGCCAGCTAGAAGGTGCTTTCAGCATCCTGCAATTACCTTATGTAAATCCTGGCCTGGAATGTTGATCCACCGCTATTTAAAATGCATTGAATTTCCATGGAAAATGATCCACTCCTGCCACCCGAAGCTCATTAATAACAACGACGAGTCGGGCTGACGTTTGGAATACTTACACGCTTACTTAGCATCACCATGCATGCGAGAACACAGCCCAGTCAGCCACGCGCTGCATCTATGACAGCACATTTGGATAAAGGATGGCTTTGAGTTCAAGCGCGCTGGCAAAATGAGTTATTTCTGCAACAGGAACTGGTTCTTCTTCTTGCACATGATGTTAAACTTGTATGCGCTCACACCATCTTTGGTTAGACAGTGTAGGAACGTGCAGACTTCAATGCACCCCCCTTTTTTTGTTGTCTTAAATTTTACCCTCACATTAAAAATGTTATAGTGTGTGGGCCGTGTTAAAGGCCAGCTCTCTCAAATAACTGAAGAAATGCTTTCTCATCTACATTTTTGCTTTTATGTCTCCAGGTTATGTGATCTCTCTCTGAAAAGTGTTTGTCCAAACCCCAATGCACTTATAGAACCTTGGACATGTTGTGCTCACAGCTCAAATGCATTTAAAAATCCCTCCAGTTGAGCTCAGAAATAGCAGTTTGTCTGGTTTTTGTCATATGGAAGTGAAACAGCTGCATTTAGGAAGTCTAGAGGAGCTGCCGAAGGTCTGAGGTTGTCGGTAGAGTCACAGGTTAAAAAAAAAAAAAAAGAATATAAAACAGCATCATTTTACGAAATGACTGAGGGGGGGAAAGTCCTGCCTTAGGTACTTGTAAAGAACTGCGGTGTTATACTAGTGTAAAAAAACAGAGTCCAGCATATATGCTGTATACCTGAGAATAGCTACAATAGTGACAACAAACTTGATAATACTGCCTTCTGTCACTCGTTTTATTCAATGTAACCAGAAATGGGTGAGTGCAAATACACCCACTCGGAAAGTGCTTACAGAAGTCAGGGCCACAGGACGTTTTCCCCTGGACAGGAAGTGTTTTTGTAACCACAGGTTTAGTTTAAAGGTCATTACATCTCAAATGAGCAAATTTCTTTTTGAATAATTTCACCTCTGATTTAAATAAAACCTTCATGGTCAAAGGTTTGAATATATATGAAATTTTAACTTCATATATCAAATAATTTGTGTTTTCTGAAAATGGTGTGTTGACTATTTCGGGGCTGTTATTCGCTCACTGAAATCTGCAGCAGTGTTTAGCCCTGAATATCTCAACAACAGGATCAAAGTCTGAAAACTTCCCTGCTTCTATGAACTATGAGTATTAGCTAGCTGAATACACATGGAATGAAAAAGAATAAAAGCCTGGTCTTTTTTATCATCAGAGAAAAAAAGACATGAATTTATTTGCAACGGATACATTAAAAACTGTTTGAGTATTAGCCTGTAAAATCCAATATTTGAGTACATACCAATTAAAAAAATGTGACACTGCAAACATAAACCAGTGATATAGCAGCATATAGTTGACAATCATGCAGACTAAAACCTGTAGAACACTTTATAACTTTGAAATTCTTATCAGGTCGCCGATGAGCACAGATGCCGGTCCCTTTGTTTGCCCTGACAAATGCTGCTGCCTGAAAGCTTCAATCACTGATAAAACATTCAGTATTTTTAACTATATCATCATAAATATCATTATTGCAAATTTCGATGAAATATCGTGATATAATTTTGAGGCTATACCGCCCACCCCTACATAGGTGACATTATATTAGGTGCATTCATCCTGTATTAACAGCTTCAAAAACATATCGAGTTCGTATCAGTGTCAGCAGACGTCTAAGTTTGTGTTATCAGACATGAAACTGCAGCGCTGAGTGATGTCGCCCTGCTGCTGCCACAGAAATCATTAATGGTGGCGTAGCAGGCTGGTGGATGGATGCAGAGGAGGTGGAGGAACATTAGTTCATCTGTCAAAGAGATGTTTGGACTGGATTGTCAAATGAAACGTCACTTCTAATGCACATTAGGATCTTCAACAAACCCGTTTCACCAGAAACAAAAAAGAAAGAAAGAAAACCTGTGTAGTAAATTAAATTAACTGTCAGTCCTCAGGTGTCCAGAAACACAACTTTTAAAAGCTCCAACGCTCTAACTGCTGCACAGCTCAACAACCAATCAGCATCATGGAATCTAAAAGTCTCCTCTTGGACGTCTTCATCTTGCAGCACTGAGCTAACAGCACCTCACGCTTGCTCTCTGAGCTATTGGTAAAAGCAGTTGGTAAAAATGTCTTTACCACAGAGTAGAAAAAGAAAAACCTCCCAAACCATTTTGTTCCTCATTCAGCCACTTTGCTGACAGCCCACCTGCAAATGAAGCGGGGGGGAAGATCCATAAATCTTTTATGCTCCATAATGGCTTGTTCACATTACCTGCCCACACCTCGGCCTCCACGGAGCAGATCAGGCCTGAAAACCACTGCAAGCATACGGAGCATTTCAAACACTCAAAGCCTCTCCAGGCCTGCGCTGTGGTCACATCCATGAATTATAGAAATGATCTAATTGTTTTCTCATTTGGAAATACTGAGGGCCCTCCTCTTTGCATCTCAGTTTTAACGGCCTGCGGTTTTCAGCGGGGCGCACGACTCAGTGCTGCCTACCTTTGACACGTTTGTTGAATCCAGGGTGGTCCGTCCTGTCAAAACAGAGCCAGAGCTGAGGTATGAGTTAAACCTGTTGCAATAAATTAACACATAGGCAAAGAGAGCGGAGGTGGTTCAGAGTAGTGGCTTCAATCAGAGGAGGGCATGTGGTGGAAAGAAAAGAGCCTGGAGGCTGGATGAAAAGTTCTGTTTAACTCCCTTAGAGAAAGTACAGACGATAAATACTGCCAAGAAAGAGGGAAAAGTCACACGAGGTATTCTGCTTACAGTATTAAAAATCTAACATACATGTGACTCACACATGATGTCACACATCGCACAGCTTTTGTCATCTGTGAGATACGGTCAGTCATAGATTCTAAACCCTCACATTAATGTCTGCGGGCTAATGTACAGGCTGAAATGTTAAATCAAACCAGGGAATCCACCAACAGCAAGCATTTGGGAGATCCTGAAAACCAGGTAAGAGTGAGATCGTCTGCTAGGCTGCTGTCTTCAGGTGTTTGACCTGCCCATTGAAGAACTCCTTTCTTTGCTTTGAGGAACTCTCGGGTCGATTTTGCGGTTTGCTTTGGCTTATCCATCTGCAGTGTGAAGCGCCGTCTCATCAGTTTTGCAGCATTCGGCTGAATCTGAGCAGCGGTCCTGTACACTTTAGTTCATCCTGCTACTTTTGTTAGTAGTCACATTATCGGCAAACACAATTTACAGGTTTCTGCTGACAGCCAGGCCTGTGCCACGCCTTCAGCGTGTTTCACAGATGCTGTGGAAAGCTTTGGATCATTTCTCTTCTCATCATTCTGACAGAAGTTAATCTTTGTTTCATCTGTGAAGACTTTTTCTGTCACATCTGCAGCTGATTGTCACCATGTTGTGTGAGGACACAACATAGGTTCTGTTGTGCTTCTTTATGTGTGTGTGAGCTTTTGCATTCTTTTCTATTCGCTGGTGCTTTTGACCTCTCCAGGCCACCGTACTTTCACGTTTTCTGTCAGTCCAATCTACCCTTGCTGTTTTTAGTATAGGCACAGGTTTACACCGTGTTGTAAACGCTGTTCACATTCACGACATTAGACACTGATTATGATACACCAACCTCCCCAAGAGTTTAGGTGCCTGCTGTGGTCTTTCAGGCCTTTTGGTTTTCTTTGTACAGCACTGCTACTGGCTACTCTTAAAGTTTCTGCTCTGTCCTTCACTCCATTAACATTTCTTTGGACCTCATACTGAGTTTCAGTGAAAAGATACCAAATGTATTGACTTAATTTGTCATTAAATAGCCTCATCGGGCCAAGAAACTATTACTATTATACATATATATATATATATATATGCACAAAAAATGATATGAAAAAGAGGTTAAAGTTAACAAGGTGAAAACTTTTTACTAAGTGTTTTATCCTATTGTAAAGTGTCCTTGGGTGACTTGAAAGGCGCTCATAAATAAAATTTATTATTATTATTATTATTATTAAAACAAGGATATTCTGAAACTATAACAACGGGAGGTGTCTTTAGTTGACGTCTTTGATGTGGCATTCCCCCGACAAATGCCACATTCCAAAAATCAAGGAAAATTAAACACTGGCGCTAATAAAAACTAAATTAGATTAAAGCAAACCCACTCTGGAAACTTCCACATATGGAGACAACTACAGAAAATATACACACAGGCTCTGTGTGGCTTTCAGCAAAGCAGAGTTTGCTCCACTTCGTGCTTCTTAATCAGAACTGACACTGTGGCAATTACCTAATTAGACATCAATTAATCCACACCCTTCAGGTCTGCAGCCACGTTTGACCTGAGACGTAACGACAAAAAACGGCGTTTGAAGAACGGAGAAATCAGATTAATGGAAGTGGAGCGGCAGAGGTTGGGCCGCGTTCAAGAAATCTCCAGAAATACACCGACGTTTCATTTCATAATTAACAGGTAGGAAAATAATTGATTGAGACATGAAAGCTTAATCACTCAATTCAATAAGCAGGATATCAGTGCTGAGTAGATTAATTCAATTATGTAATTAAAGACGAGGGAAAGGGGGGAAGCTTTAGAGCTGATTGAAGGTTAAACAGCCTGCTAACCTTTTCTTCACTTCACATCCACCACAGCACACACCGACGTGGGTTTGTCTTGTTTTTTATTAGACATAGCAATTTCACAAACAGCAGTTAGCCTGAAAAGTACATTCAAATGTATGCCTGACCATGCGCAAACACTCCAGATACACCTGCAAACAAAAGTAACAGTCGGTCACGGGGTTTTTTTCTTTTTCACAATCTGTCTATTTTTCACGTTTTTGATTCAAACTTCAACAAAGTCAGACTCTTTCACTGGTTCGCCATCAAAAGCACACATACCTCAGTCACTACGACAGTTTAACAGCTACTTTCTTTCCCTGTACATACGCTCCGAAAGGGTTTAAAGGCTCTTCTTTGCGTTCGAACAGCCGGGCGCCATGTTCCCCTGTCTGAACACTTTGTAATATTAGCTTACGTGAGGAGAAGGGTCAGCAAATTCACGTGAAATGGTAACACTGAAGTTCCCAGAAGTCCGCTTTGTTGGTTTCCAGTAACACCAGGACTGAGGTTGGCGACCTTTCTCGCCACTGAAGTTTTAATGAAGTTCACGAAGGACCGCGGCCGGCTTAACGCAAATGTTACCAAAGCACGTTAGACTACACGACACACAGTTTGTTACAAAGTGGCAACACAGGGATGCTTCTGCTCCGATTTGATGCCATTTACCTCACTCGGCACACTCGTGTGTCAAAGGGTTAATGGCCAACACTGGTTGAAAGTGGGGGCGGGGGTGTCACTAATAAGTGGGATAAGTGTAATTCCAGTTCATCCAAGAGCCAAAAGACAGTCTGTTAGCTTAACACTGATTATTTTTCCACCTCATCCAAATACTCAAAGGGCTCACACGTCACAAACGAAGCTTCACGACACAGAAACCAGAACCACTGCTGGTCGGATTCCACCAGGAGGCGCGAGCAGCTCCACTTTCATTTACTGGCCACAGGGAATCCAGTGTATGTGAAAAACACCTGAATACTCAAATCCACCACATCATCCACACGTCATCGCAGCACCACTCTGAAAAAAACTCATCTGGCCCCACTACTCGCAGCAGGAATGGCAACTGAACAAGTGGGTGAGATTTATACACTTTGTTTTTTTCTTTTAAATCATCTCCAAAACTTCTTCAAGTGCAACACTTCAGGAATTTTTTTTCTGCTTGGTCCACAGCAATGTTCAGTTCAGTCCAGAAACAAAAGAGAGGAGGGGAAATGGAAAACAAGTCCGTGTTTGAAAAGTGTGGCATCCTCTTCCTAAGTAGGCACCTCTACCTACCAAAAATACTTTCGTACTCGAGCAGTATAAGCTCTACTATCTGGTTCTGGTAGACCATGTGGACCGCGATGTTGCCCGTCTCGGTCTCGGGCCTCAGCAGCGTGGGTCCAAACACGATGGCCACGCTCTGCGTGGTCATGCGGTTGGCCTCTCCGTGGTCCACCACCCTGGAGAGAAGAGGAGAATGGGGAGAAGAGGAGATTTAAAGATTGCACGTTTTATAAACAGCTTCAGATGTTCGCCGGCGTTCCGGTTTCATCTGGAGAAAAGTGCATTACATACATCTTTAAGGCTCGAGCCGGAGCGCAGAAGCAAACTCGGTAACACGACAGAACGCTCCAGGCAAGAGCATAATAGCTTTTTAAAATAGAATCTACATCCTTGCATGCAGATGCACAAAACAATAACATATTCATGGAGCGAAGGAAAAAAGAAGGCAGATTAAATCCCCCTGCTGATATATGTAGACCTCCATATACAGAATGTCACGCTATAAATTTCCTCATGAAACACCACTTCACAGGTACTGAATTACAGCAAACACGGCACCATATAAATGCAAATTGGAAAGCTAGGCAAATGTCATTGTGAACATATGATATTGCCACTGGCTGCAGTGAGCCAAGAATACACAGCTGGCTCAAGTTTGTGTTTGCATGTAGGCTGATCGGAACGAGGGAGAGTAAACAGCTGAGCGGGTCCGTTTGAGCCACGCGTGTGAAACTCGTTCAAGTAGAACGTGACCCAATAAATTTTTAATTTTTCAAAGTGACTGCTGATGAGTTGGCCAACTAGTTATGATCCTGGGCTTCACACTGGGATGGGCTGGTTACAGTTGTCAGGCTGTACTTTTCCCATGTGCTGATACAGACACAGGTCCGAATATTTGTTTTTATTTGATGGATCTTCAGGGTAAAATGATTTATATCTGGGCTGAAACAATGTTTTGTCATTATACCTTAGTGTATAACAAAATACACAGTAATAAATAACTAACATACAACACAGTGGCTTTAATTCAGAGAATATCCGACTTCAAGTGAACAAGTCTGACTGATGACTCTCTTACTTCTGAAGACAGTGATGAAATTTCACAGGTTTCAGGATCTGAAGAAGTTATTTATTAAATGGATGAATGGAAAGTGTCCCAGCGCACTGCTTACCTCCTCAGGTGTTTGAAGAGGATTTGCATTGTGTCATGGTTGGGCTTTGGCAACTTCTTGATTAAATCTTTGATTGAATTCACTCGCTGCTTGTAGTCAGAGCACTCTGAAGAGGAGAAGCAGAATCAGTGAAAACACATGGATGCAGTGCCACCTTGTGGTCACACCAGGCAAAGGATTTAACCTAAAGATTGAGAGCGGCACTATTTTATCCGTATAACTCACTGATGGCATTCACAAAGTCATTGAAGGATCCGTATGAGAACAGAGGCTCTGGAAGCTCCCTGAAAAACATCTTGAGAGCTCCGGTGGTGACGTGGATGTCCTCCCACTTGCTATCATTGAGATCCACCTTCTCATCTGACAGATGACGAGGAGGTAAGGCAGAACACAACTATTACCAGAAAGCTGACCCTTTACATCACATCACATATAGAGATACAGTGTAACTAGATCTTACCATGATTCACAGCAAAGCGAAGCTTCTGGATCACTGCCAGGTTCCCGCTCACTCGATATAAGCCGTCAATATTAAGACCTGTGGGTGTAGTTGAGAGGAAGGGAACACAGACAGGAGCAGGGAGTGTAAACGACAAGGCCGCGTTTATGTTTCCTGACTTTAAAGCAGCAGCACCAACAAAGAGAGACTGATCAAATGCTTTTGTCTTCACTGCCTCGCTTTGTGTTGCTCTGGAACAAACCGCAGGTAGTCTGAATGAAAACAGTTGAGTTGATGCTTGAAAGAGACTAAAATTACGCCTGATACAGAAAGTCGCAGCATCAGAAGCAAAAACAATTTAAAAACAATTGAAATTCCACACAGATGTTTAATATTCTGAACTGGCTGAAGTGGCAGAAAACCTGAGTTTACTTCTGAAAGACTCTGCCTCTCTCCGCCATGACCTGGACACAGGTCATGTTACTGGCCTGTGTCTATGTAACCTCATCGGCTGGAAGATCTATTTATTTTTGTATTTACTGATTTTCAAACATTTTTTCCATTTAAATACTTTTACACAGCCTCTTCCAGTTTACGACTCGGGTAATTGGCTCGTGTACTTTTAACCTCGTTGTTTAATGTGTGTGAAAAAATAATGCAACTGTAACAAACGACTGGCTGAACATGAAATAAAACTGAGCCGGAACCATCGCCATGGTGATGCATGATTTATAGCAACGTATTCTGGAGTCTTTAGATTAGAATGGGGGAGCTTAATGTCTGCATTTGTGAAGTTGTATATAAAAATCTATAAAAATAATAAGCAGTGTGACATATGCGTATGTATGGGGGGCTCGTACCTGTGTTCTCCACATGGTCGATGCACATTGTGACAAAGTTGGGCACTGATGTGTTCTCCCGCTGACACAGACTGGTCAGACTGCAGCCGAACACCTGATCTGTGAGCACACACAAACATTTATTTCCATCTTTCACCCGTCTGGTGGAACATCACAGAGGACTCGCGCTGGAGTCACGTGCATAGAGCTGCTGTCCGCTTACCTTTAATGTATCCTTTGTCTCGGACAGCCTGGTATGTGGGTCGACGAGTCAGGAACTTCTTGAGCTTCATCCTGGTTTTCTTCTGGTCTGATGAATCCATGCTCACAGAGTTCTTCATTGCTGTAGCAAGACAGGCTCCATGTGAGTGCATCTCTTTTGCAAACACACTGAATGTCCATTCTGTAGCGCAGGGACACTCGCAGACTTACCTCGGCTCTTCTTAGAGTCCCGGTGCTCCTTCTCCTTGTCCTGTTTCTCAGCTCCCGGAGACTCTGGCATGTCCTCCTCAATGGCTTCATCCGACTCCCACGCCTGGACGGGGAAGACACATACGTGCTGTTAGCTTAAGCTGGCTCAGAATGAATTTGCTCTCAGTTTCTATGTATTCTGTCCACTCCTGAATATTTAACCTTTCACTGCAGTTTGTTTAAACAGGTGTAAACTGGGATTTCAGCTCTGGCTGGACTTGCACTGAATTGTGGGAAAAGTATCTAAATTAAAGGTAAAGCTTCTGTGTCCTCCACTCACATGTGTGTTGATGGTCTCTGTAAGGGCGCGGTACCAGTCACTGATGACACTGTCGATCTCAGACTGTATCAGGAGCTCTGTTCCTTGACGGGTCTTCAGCTAGAGGAGGAAAGGATAAAAAGCCAAAACAGCTCAGCTTGTTCTGACATGTTTGAACCAAAAATGACTGAAAAAACAAGAGCTGAGAGTTGGGAGCAGGTCCAGTGGGTCCAGCACCTCGATGACGTGCTTCTTGCTTGATTTGTCCTTGGAGGCCCACTCCACTGTCCCCCCGCGCAGATCCACAGTGAACTCAGGCTTAGACTGATTGCTGCCAAACTTCTGGAACAGAGAGACGGGACACAGTATGAGAGACAACATCTGACGCACACATAATATAACAGGGATGTCATGCTGTGTCTGTACAAGGATGAAACCAGATATGCAACAAAGGGGTAAAGACTTAACACTGGACTCAGTAAATAACACAACAGTTAATAAAATAGTCGTTAAATCATCTAAGAACCTCGGTTATGTTCATTAATATTGCATTGATGTCAGAGGAATCACTGGTGGAGCAGGAGGTACATATTGGATCTCTTCACACACAAAGATCTTTAGTTTTGTGTTACGAAAAAGCAAAAAGGCTATTAGTTATTTATATTAATGTCATGCATATTAATAAACACGATGTTTGGAGGTTTTAAATCTAACAGCGTTGTAATTCAGTCAGAGCTATTCCTGGAAATATCACCGGAAAGTGATGAACACCGTGAGCCTCCTAAATCTCTCTTCTTGTCAGACATGCGATCCATATGTCAAATGCCTGAAACTGTGCGAACGGATTCCTGACATCAACGCCTGGTCAGACACCCCAGCAGAAAGCTGCACGTTGGAGCAGTTGATCAACTCCAGCACTGTCCCCAAAGTCTGGCTCTTCATGTGTGGGTAACTTTCTGGAAGGGGATGCCAGGACACGACCCAGCACTGTTATTAATCACTGGAGCTGTGGTGTGACCCATCATAAAACAAGGTCAATTATAAGTATCTCCACTTGTTGTAAATGATCAAGACAAGATTTTAAATTTGGCACTGGATTGTAGAGTGACTTGCTTTATTTTATTGTGCCTCACTCTGGACAATGTAATATATTTTTGGAATAAGACCAGGGAACCCCTCTGACTCCTTGGGTCCTGGACCTATGCTTGGTAAGCCCTGTTAGCATTCTGTATTTCCTCCCTGTGTCTTTATATGCTGCCATAACATCAACTCTTGCCTCCTCTCTCTCCCAGTATGCACTTTGTGCTCTCCTTCTTTTCTCTTACTCTTTGTCTTACACTTTGTTCTTCCTCTTTAAATCACTTTTCTATCGTTACTGGAATGCTGATTTTCTTTAAACTCTTTGCATTTTTTCTTTCTTTTCTGCATATTTTTACTCACTTAATATTTAAAGAGCATTCCATTTATCAATAAAGTATTAAACACACTTGCACTAAGTAAAATATAAGTGGATGTCCTCCTGAGGAGAGACACACTGCATACACTTTTATCCAACAGAATAATTTAAGTCCTCTTTATTAACTATTTTCTGTTTGTCTGTCTGTTTGGGCTCCACTGCTGCTCATTAGTGTATCTATGGCTACGTCCACACTAGCCCGGATAGATTTGAAAACGGCGTTTTCGTCTGAAAACACTCCGCATCCACACACTATCGTCTTCAGTCATTTTCACAGAGTTGTGCGTCCACATTGAAACGGGCGAAGACGCTTACGTCCCAGTACTGCGCATGCATGAAACGCAAGACGATTCGAACTGCCTCATTTCTGCCTGCCGTTTATTTACTTTCCGACTCTTTGAAACGTTGCAGCAAAATGTCGAGAAAAAGCACAGAGTTTTTTTTCTCAAGTGGACTAACAATGAGGTGGAGTTGTTGGAATTTGAAGAAAAGCTATCTGGGGGACGTACAAACTGATATTAATCTTTAACAGGGCTGTCAAAATTGAGAGCAAACAAAACAACTGCTGTATAATGCCCACCGCTGTTTAATTGGCCACTTGATTGCATCACATGACTAAAATGTGTCATAGTTTTCAAAAAGTCTCAGTTTTCGCTGTCCACACTGTGACGCAAAAGCACCATTTTCAAGTGTACGCGTTTTTTGAGAGCGTTTTCAAAACGCTGCGTTTTCCTTCACAGAAAACACTGAGTGTGGACGGGAGGCCAAAATGGAGAGAAAACGCATTAGTGTGGACGTAGCCTAAATCCTGGCTGCTCTCCAAGCACCAGGTAAAATGTGCAAGTTTAATGCCACGAAGTGCAACAAAGATCAAAAACGTACGGTAGCTGCTTTCTTGTAAATTTAAGATAAAAGTATAAATATCACACAACCTTTAAAAGAATCCTTTGATCTCTCTCTAAACCGCTGTTTCTCTAAAGTGAAGTTAAGGTGAGTCAAGCTTGACAAACACACGTCAGTCAGTCTCCTGGTCAGTCACAGCAGGGGTGAATGAACAAATGGGAGAGAGGTGGGAGCGCATGCAGAGAGAGAGGGAACATACAGCGGCAGCCTGACCGGGCCTACAGTTCACATAGGAGACAGCGGGACGGGGCTTGACTGAGTGCTTCCAGCTGCTAAGAAGAGTGAGGAGCAGCTCTGGGATAGAGTCGCTGCGGTAGTAAGACTTCAGAGAGAAGAGGAGAAAACTAATGAACAGAAGTTGACAAACGTCACAACACAGATGGCATGAAGGCCGGTGAATACGCAGGAATATGGAAAAGGAAAATATCAGAGAAACAAATGGAATGATTAAAAAAAAAGCAAAAGAAGAAGTCAGAGGTCACAGGATACATACCCAGCTGGTGCTGCCCCCCTGACCCTTTGCAAAGAGCAGGGATGAGCCCTGCAGCACAGTCCATGAGGAGGTCCAGTTCTTCCTGTTAGTCAGAACAAATGTGTTAATGACATTCTGTGGCTGCAGAGAACACTTTTAGAGAGTAATCACGTCTTACCTGACTTTCTTTCCATTCTCTGTGATTTTGGTGACATTGAGAACTCCACACTTCTCTGAAGGCTGAAGAGAGAGACACACAGTGGCAGATAAAAACCTGCTGGAACACATGAATGAAAATACATGCACACACCGATCCTCAACAAGCAAATGGGCGGAGCAAACAGTCTTAAAGCTGCTGTGTTGCCTTGTGTCATAGCTAAACACCACCAGCAGATGGCACCCTAATGCTGCAGTGTTGAAATAGTAGTTTAGTAGGTAGGTGATAGGTTTGATGCAGGTAAATATGGCATGCAGCAGACGATAGTAAACCAACTGGGTTGTTGAGAAGATTAAAGATGAGAAGTGTTGTCTTTACATGCAGAGACAGCAGGATGATGATATGCAGTGTGCAGTGCAAGCTGGGATACTAACGGTCAAGGGGTGCTTAGGAGATGAGGGGCAGGAGTCAGAGTCTGGAGAGCTCTGCTTGGGCACCGAAGCACACTCCTACCAACAAGAGGCACAGTGTGATAAGTCACTAATAACTATACATGACTACACATGAAGACAGTAGGTCTGAGGTTAGTGGGTGATGGAGAAGAAACCTGGGATGGAATCACAAGAATGAGTTATTGTTAATAGAAGTCATTAAAAGAGAAAGATAAAAAAGACAAGTTAGGGTTTAAACTGCAAACATCTTGGATTTCGGCTTCAGAGATGTTCAATATTTAGTCCAATAAGCTTCTTCTTTTCCTGATCTGCATCAACAACAATGTACACTGAAGAAACTAACAAAACACCAACATATAGGGTGTTGTTTTTAAATCTAGCCACTCTTTAGCCAGTTCTTTTAACTCATGCATATTGTTAGATCCCATATTAGAACCATTTCTTTAATGTGACTTGCTAAACTCTGCATCAGGGAGGGTTAAAAAAAAAAGAAGAAAAAAATACGTGCCTAGTTGCATAATAAAAAGTGCAGGGACTAGTTTTTGGAGCTTTGCCCAAACTGAAGGGTAAGGTTGAGGATGTCTAAATCTCTGCAGCGTCTCCTTTCTTTTATCAGTTTGTATTCTGTGAGCTTTCCTTTCAGAAGCCCTGAGCGGAAAGTGAGAAAAGCTTGTGGTGATTCATTTTCTAATCTCTAACACGTTTATTTTCCTCCTGACTTAAAAGGTAAAAATCTATTTCAGACCGTTTTACAATGTTTTACTTTTTCTACCTGTGAAATGGGAAGAAAGAAGTTCTCCAGTTGAAACAGGTGAAAAGAAAATTAGCCAAGTTTGTAAAAAAGTTTCTTAGGTAAAAAAAAACCCCAAAACAAAACAAAAATGTATTTTCAACCTGTGAAAAAAGTTCCTCGGAGAAGCTTTGACAGGGGGGAAAGCCCCCCACCCAAAAAACCATTACAGAAGCAAACATTTTTGTTCTCACAAGAGACAAAAACAAAAAAGCACTCTCACAAACAAAGACACAAGCGAGACTGATAACTGACCCAGATGGTAACAGATGTTGCATTGTTAAAAGGAATTCAGGGACATTCAAGTGTCAGCGTGTGGGTTTGTGAGCTGTACTTTGTGGCTCTGGCCCGTTTTACATGTCACAAGATTGAATCACACACAACATGACGAGCAGGTGCCCACTGTCCTCACAGAGATATGCTGGCTACACACACCATGAAGTCGTCCCCAGAAAAAGCAAACTTGTTAATCCGTTTTTTTGGCCATCATTAATTTTCACAACAACCTGCTCTCTTCTTTTCACACACAGAATAATTCACCAAACACAGCATGAACAACACAGCAGAGCCTTTTTCCATCAGCCTAACACTGTTTAACTCCACATTAGTGGTGGTCTCTGTCCTACCTTGTCATTGAGGTCTAAGACATAAGTGCTGTGCCTCCACTTAGTGAGGACAATGGGCTCCGGCTGCTTTCTCTCCAGGCTGCGACTCTTAGGAACCTCGCCAGGCTGAGGGGAGATGTTGTACTGCAACGACAGAGACAAGTGGTGATGTTTACAGTCCAGATGTTTTTCTAACAGACCTCACATTCCCTTTCCCTACCTCTCCTTTTACTGTCCACAGGATCATTGGACAGAGGAACTTTCCTTACACAGCAGGCATTGTTTACAGTAAAGTCCACTGACTGTACCTGCGTGTGCACTGGACCACTGTTTACTCACTCTGCAAACGAAGCGGTCTATTCTGATCGCCTCTAAAGCCTCCAGATTAGGTGGTAAAGTGCCACTAATAGCCAGTCACTTAGAGTTCAACGTAAACTTGGCTCTTCCGTGAGCTCTCAGAACTTCATCCACTTACAACAACAGGACTGGTCTCAACACTGCTAGGATGAGGCAAAGTGTGTTACAGTGCAGTGGTGCCAGGTGATGTAATACGACAAGACTTGTCATTGTCACAGGAAGGAACCTGCATTAGGTGGTGGATGTCTGATGTAAAGAGCGAAGACAAAGCACACGGACGGCCAAGTTCATCATGTAATCTTACCTTAGGCAATTCCCACTCTGACCTGGAGCCATCAGCGCTGTAGTAGTAGGGTCGGCCTTGTTCGTCCACATGTTTTATCCACTGTAAACATAAACACTGGTCAGCTGCAAATAAAGAAAAAGCATCTGATGGAAGTGCAGTCGCTAAGGGTGACAGGTGAGGTCACCCGAACTCTTTTAAGCACAATCAAAATCAGATTCCACCTTCTCCTGTGTGTATTCAGACACATAGAGGGTGTGTCCATGTTCATCCAGCTCTTCAGACCAGCCTCTAGGGGGTGACCCATACTGGCTGTCAGACTGACTGGAGTGGGTGCTGTGGCAGTTTTCCTCTGAGGACAGTGGCTGTGGAGAAAGAAGGACAGCAAAGAAGACCTTAAAGCAAAGAATTGGCTGAACCAAGGGTCGCACGTATGACCACACGTATGACCACATGGCAAGTTTGTTCTAACAGGACACAAAGTTATAGTCAACCAAAGTAAAAACTGGCTGCTGAGTATAAAACTCCAACATGTTTTATAAGTGTGGATGTTATGCACGTCAGCAGCATCTCCATGGCTTCATGTTGATATCACTGTAAGGTACAACACCAACATTTAAAAGGTTCTCAAGTAGTTTCAGCATCAATCATCTTGCCCAACTGTAGGCAAGAATGTAAAACCGTAAACATCATGTAAACATTTTAATGCAAAATGCTGCAGCTACACTACTTATGAGGACTACAAAGAAAGAGCATATTTCGCCAGTATCAGCTTCTCTTCATTAGGTTCCTGTTGAATCCCCCTCCTCACATATAAGGTCTTAAAAAAATCAGGCCCCATCTTATCTTAAAGACCTCATAGTACTGTATGACCCCGATACAACCACTTTGACTGCAGGCTTACATTTGGTTTCTAAAATATTTAAAAGTAGAACAGGAGGCAGAGCCGTCAGTTTTCAGGCCCCTCTTCTGTGGAACCAGCTTCCAGTTTGGATTCAAGAGACAGACACCATCTCTGCTTTTAAGATTAGAAGTAAAACCAACTATATTTAGTGAATAGAAAAGCTGAACAACCCAAGCATCAAATAACATTTGACGTGTTTCTTTTACTTTATTTATTTATTGTTCTTACTTTATAGCTGACTAATGCTTTTATTTGTGTGAAAATGGTTAACAGTCACAGCTGGAAAATAACATATTGAACAACTTCACACTAGTAGCTGATGGTATTTGCAAATGTCAGTGGCAGATTTATCTGTTGTGTATCGCCACGTTTTTCCTCAGGCTGGTTTGAATTTCATGTTTTAAGTCTTTCAGCCAAGCAGCACAATCAACAACAATAAAACAAAGGTCCTGTGAGAAGCTGGAATCAACAAGTTTGTTTTTTAGGCTATAATAAGCCACTCCAGTGCTCTATCAGTTATACATCAGTACATTAATGCTTCACAAGGGGGCAGTGTTGCATAGTTAGGATGAAATGACAACCTACTAAGAAACCGAAAACATGGTTTCTCTATATCAAAGGCGCACTTGTCTTCCCACCTTCGTCTAACCACAACATCTTTTAAAAGTGAGGTTGACCACAACTTCAACAGAGCCTGTTTATTTAACGTGAACTGCCAGAGACGCCATTTACAGACCATCATGACCTGATTCCTGTTTCCACATCCACTCACACCTACTAAACCCTTTGGCCCAAACAAAGGATTATTTGTTTGAATGCTTGTTCATGTTTGATATTTATGACTACTTACAGAAACAGATCATTTTTAGTATCTCTCTTCAAATACTCCAGGCACCCCTCACCTCACTCTCCGCTGTGCACTGACTGTCTCCTCGGGTACTGCTGGTGCTGCTGCTAGTATCCCTGGTGCGTGGTGGCTTCCAGGTCCGCTCCCCAGTGGCCCGGTTGTAGTAGAAGTGCCTGCCACTCAGATCTTTGTGGGTCTCCCAGTCACCCAGGATGTGGATTGGGGAGCCTGAGGGCACAGGAGGCAGGCTGGACTGAGAGATCTTCAGCTCCTGGAGGTTGGTATAGACAGGCGAGTCGGACCGGCCCTGACCTGTCGGTGATGTTGTCTGAACGAGACAGATGGAGGAAAAGAGGGGGAAAGATCAGGATTTGTGGTGCATTCATTCACGGGTGGCTGATCATCTTTTTTTCATTTATATTCACTGAGTTGTCCTGGGAATTTACGACTGTCCTCACTTTATTCTGAAAATTCAATGACATTCCAGGAATTCCATAACCACAAGACGCCAGTGTCTGCTGACATCCAAGTATGTGTTGGAAACGCTCGGCCCAGCTACAAACAGCAGCAGCTGTCACAGCGTGGACCCAACGGTGGAACGTGATCAGCTGAGCTGTTTGCTGCAGCACAGTTAGCATTACAAACATAAACATGGAATTTAGCTGCAAAGAAATATAACTGTTGCACAATAATCTAATTTCTCCATTTAGAAGAAGGAAAGTGAGTGAGTGAGGAGGCAGACAAAGGCTTTGAGCAAGTCTGGCAGTCTGCACGGCAGGATGGAGGCGGCACATGTGGCTTGCAGTCACAGAGGTTGAAATCGCACCATATCAGTGAGACTTGAACCACATGCACTCAACAGAGTTATGGAATCATTTATCTGTCAAATCAGAGGCAAATGCTCTGAGGACAAATGTCTGCTGGTATTTTAATGCAAGAAATACCCATGTAGGATAAAAGATATGAAATGCAAAAGAAATGAAATGGTGAATTTCAGAGATTTTACTTCACGGTTCATGCATGAGGCTGTTTAATAGTTATATTAAACAATATGTAGATTGTTTTGGTAGGAGCTGCCCAGTTTTTCAGACAACTTCTGCAGCAAGGCTCCTTGAATGTATTGGAACCGTTTCTACTCCTGTTCACACAGTTATCTATTATCATACAAGCCTAAATCTTAACCTAAAGCTAATGATACCATGCTGTCACACTGGCATTAGCACTGCCAGAGGTACAGGTGTAGTTTCAACTGTTCACTAAAAGGACTGCAGATTTTTCTGAGTAACTGGGTCTTAATTCCTGGAAAGAAATATGGATTTTTGGTGCTTTGAGCACAATTTACTTCATCAAGAGAAGGCAGACATACAGCAAATTTCCCCCTAGCACACAAAAAGAGCTCTACAGGTCAGAGGAAAATACAGAATTTTAAACAGAAAGTTTTCACAGGACTCTGTGCAGGCTTGTGAAGAGCTGTCACTTTAAATGTGGCTTTTTGCCATAACAGACAGCACTGTCACGGCACGGCGACCTAACAGCTAAACATCTCCTTAGCAACCATAAATATTGCTTCAAATTGTGCAACAGCAGGTTAGAAAGATTGAAAAATTTGGGGAAACAAGCGTTAAAGAGAAAAAAAAAAGCACGTTGCACAGCAAAGGCAAGAGGAAGTAGAAGAGATAAGTTACGTGTGTCTTTTGTGCAAATGGCTGGTATAAAGTGCCGATGCGGTATAGAGATAAAAAGGTTTCTATTAACTAAACAGTTTGTCTTCCATTTAGATCTTTACTTTTACACAATCTAAGAGATGCCGTCTGAATATATCTTCCTGGATTTGGACCTGGCCCTGCAGTGTCAGAGCAGATAAACATCAAAGACAGTTTTTGAGATGGTCTTTTAAAACTTGGCAGCATTCGAAGGTCACTCCACAAAAGGGAAAAAGCTAAGTTACCATGGCTACGGCTCAGAGCGTTTAACGTTCTGTATGCTCTGAAAAAAAAAAATTGGGGGCTTTTGGAGCTGAGCTGAGTCTGACCGGTGCCAGCTTTGGGTGTCTCTAGCGAGCAGGAAAGCATTAGATACAGAACGCTGTGCCAGCACTGCCTCTGTTTGTTACAGGTGAGGAATGTAGGGGTGGAAACACACTTCAGTTACAAGCTTTTGGGCATCTTTCAGGATGCAGATGGAACTTCCTGCCGGTTTTGGAATAACAGGAATATTTTTCACATGAATTATTATTTAATATCCTGCACACGTGCTGGACCGGAGCAAAGGCCTCGTGGCACCCTGCTGGCTTCAGTTAGTTTTACCCGCTGCTTCTCAGTTTCAAGTCCAACACAGCGCGAGCAGCTGAACGAGGCAAAGCGAAGAGACATGACAGTTTGGCTGAACTCGAGTTCAGACTCGTCCGTCGCCACCAGAATGGATCCAGTGTGCTGCAACTTTAACTGCTCTTTTTTTTTTAAAGGAAGTAATACAGCAATGATGGAGTCTCGCGGCTGTGGAGAGCACGGCTGGGGTCAAATCCATTTAGATTCCACTCAGCCCAAACAAACCTGAATGCATCTGGTGGAGAAGTAATTTATATGCTTTAATGTCTGTTTTGACAGAAGGAAAACCAAAACATTTTTTTTGGTTTCTGCATTCAGAGTCATTTCAAAATGATTGTAGTCTGAGTGGAGTGTGCACACGCTTTATTACTGGGTAAAGGAACACAGTTCAACTGCTGACCACACATGCTACAATCATTTTATATCATATTCTGCTGCCTGCATAGAGTGTTTGTCTTCTTTAGCTGCACTGGTCATTTTGCACCACCCTAACATATAACGTTTAAAAGGACGCTCAGCTCTTCGTTGTTGTTATTAGTGTTATTACCAAAGACTGGACGAAGCTCCCTTTGTGTTTCCACAGGCTGAGTAGTGCTCCCCTCAGTGCTGTTAATGTGGAACATAATGAGTAACAAGAAGAGCACAACCAACAGAGTTTATTACCAAACACCCGACTAATGACTACTGTGCACTCAAACTTAAGGCAGTGAGCAAATGCAGATCACAGTCACTGCGTGTTAGCATGACAACGTAACCACAAAGCTATAGTGATAAACTCACTATAACCTTCACCAAATTCTGTGTCGTAATTCCCAATGACATGTAGATGTTTTGTCACATGAACGCTCACTTTCTGTGTGAAATCAAGCGCACACCTTAAGGTTTCCAGTACATCAAACTTTATATATTATTTGCTTCCAGAGAAGGTACCATGATGGTGCACACACACGCACAGACTAAATCACAGGATGAAAACAAAACTAGCTTTGCTGGTTAAAAACAAAACAGGAAAAACAAAAACAAAAAATACAGCCTCTAACACCATGATTCACAGCTCTTTCATCCTCATCAAGCCATTCAGTGAAAGCTCATTACAAATGATGATCCACTGCTTTCCAGGAAGAGACCACTACCATCAAGACAGATATGTTTCATCGCAGCATACAGGTGACGACTCAGGACCATTTCTAGTGTACACACAGAACTGAGATATCACCAGCAGATTCCCTCCTTACTACAAATGGTAAATGGACTGGACACTTAAAGCACTTTAGCACTTTGCCTCATTTAACAGCTGCACTGCAAGCTGGATGCATCAGAAAGCATGGGGTTGGCATCTTGCCCAAGGATATTTGGCTGCAGACTGGAGCAGCCAGGGTTCAAACTACCAACCTTTTGATTAGTGCTCTGACTTCTGACTTGCTCTACCTCCTGAGCTACAGCGACCCCATGCAGGGGTTCAAAGTCTAGCTTTTCCTTTTTTGTTTTAAGTTTGTTGCTAATCTGTATGACATCTAAACTCGAAAGAGGGAAAAAAGTGGCAACTCCCTCGAAACTAGACAGAAATGAAAATAGCAACATGAAGAGAGGCTGTTCTGTATGAGAAAGAAAAGCTTCATGCAATGTACACCATACACTAAAACACAACACATATCTGGTATTGCAGGAGACAACAGAGGAACTTTTTTTTTTTACTTCAAAATTAAACTTGACATGAAGAGAAACATCACTGGCAGTCACCATCTGTTCCCTAAATTCAGACTGGCAAACTTTCACTATGCTGTTATTAATAATACCTGGAATCCAATGCAACAGTTTCAGGAGAACAAAGCTGCTGCTTGCTGCCAGTGCTGATGGAAAGGTCTCAAACTATAAATGAACAGTTTGAGGAAGAGCACAGAGGAACTAATTGTTATAGGACATCAAAATCCATCTGTGCTGGCAACGCAGAGGCACTGTGCTATATTAATGCAGAGGGCAGAGATCTAAGCAAGCTGACATGGTGAAAATATCTAGCAGTCTCATTTGTGTCACCTTGTGTCCAGAGCTGCACACAAAGACGTCGTCGTCATCCTCCCCGGCTCTCCTGTAGCCTCTGAACACACTGAATGCACGTCGCATGGTGATGCACGGCGGCCATCAAGTGCAACGGGGCACGCGCTGTGGTTTCAAAGCACCCCTCACCAACACAGACGCAAAGAAATACACCGCTTTCTCTCAGTCCTTCTGACTTGTAATGTTCCAGCTGAAGGTAACAGGAAATCTGAGACCTCACTTTGTGTGTGTGTGTGAGGTGGAAGGATTCTGTTCCCCTTTGCACTTGTCAAACACACACACAGAGCGCGGCAGTGTACACAAACGCAACTGGCACAACAGGAAACTGCTGAAATAGTGTGAGCTTCCCCTACGAAGAATGACTTTCTGTGGGTTTCGCTCAGACCAGCCGCCGACAAAACTGCTTCACCAAAGGCCAGACTCTATTTTTACCACAGTGTAGAGACCTGAGTGTGCTGATGAGAGATAACACCCCCGATCACTACTCCTGTGGACTCTTCTTTCACCGGGACAAATGAGTGCCATATGACAGATTAGGCAAAGTATATTTAAAGGAGGTTTGACAGGCAATAAAAGTGATTAGGAGAAGAGGAAGGTGTTATTTAAGTTTTAACACCAACGGCAACAATTCTCTAAAGATTTTTGCAATTCCATGTGGCAACATGCTGAAGCTCTTTCACCATTACAACACTTAGTTTTGATCACCGATTTCACTTTGTATTGTTTCTAGATGATACCTGGCACACGACAGAGTGTTAAAATTTACACCGGTAATCTTTTAACATGTTTTAGGTGCCGTATTTAATGTACTTGAGACACAGTTGAAAAATACATCTGAGAACGTTACACTACAGCAGGAAAAGCCATAGTTAATCTTCAGGTATGACAAGCTGCAGCCGACTAAATTTAAAGCACACAAACATGGCATCAGTTATCTATGTGTATCATGTGAAAGGGGTCACATGTCATGATGCATGTGCAGTACTGTCATATCTCACAAGAGCTGCAGGGACCAAATCACAATAAGAGAGATACCAGGGTCAAATAAGGAGTGGATGTAAGGACTGCACCTCCTCTGATAGCAATTACCCAAGGTAGGCTATTAATGCTATATTAAATATGACTTGAAACTATCAATGAACATCAAAAAGTAATCAGTAAAATGGTAAATTAGGGCATAAATCAAGTGAGAAGTGGGGCAATTTCCTCATTAACTTAAAAAGTGCAAGCTTTAGTTGACAGTCACCTCTTTTTGCAAACACTTTATTTCAACTAACTATATTTATTTAATGCTAAATCACAACAGTCGCTGCGTTATATTGTAAGGTAAAGACCTAATCGGACGAACCTCTGTGTACAAGCACTTGGTGACAGTAGGAAGGAAAAACTATCTTTGATTAAGGAGAAAACTTCAGCAGAACCAGTTCAGGGACGGGCGTCCATCTGGGGGTGAGGGGAGGGAAACTTGACAAAACACAACGATCAATAACAACCGGGAGGCTTCCCCTGCTGGTCAACAGGTAAGGCACTTCCTTACCTGTAAGGTAAGTAAGATACGATTGTGCTTTGTGATTATGATTATTTTGATGATAATGTGCCAGTTTTAAAAATAATAAGCATTATTTAACCAAAACGTATGACACATTAATTTAAATAATTCACTCAATTAAATAACACACTTTTTAAAACACTCTTTTTCAACAGTACCAGAAAATACAGGCACACCTGCTAAAATCTTCCCCGTGGTATTACACAGTAAAATACAGCAGGCAACTTCAGCATGACGTCCTCCCACAGTATACTCCCAGTACCCTCACTGTAAATCGCTGCCCAGTGTTTACACTGGATTCTCAACAGGCAGATTCCTGGCTGAAGTGAATGAGATGTGGCAGAGAGCGGGGAAGGAGGGATCAGGACCCAGGGTCTCTGACAGGTAATTAAAAATAGAGAGGATCTAGGGGATGGGTGGAGGGAGCGAGAGAAAGAGAGCAGGTGATGAGGAGAGAGGGAGAGAGGTGCTGTTGAATACAGAACAGTCTTCTTCACAGCAGAGCAGCCTGTCTGTTGGCAGAGCCGTGATAAATGAGTTTCAGACTACAGGCCAGTACAGTATAGGATCTCCACAAACTGCATTAAGAATGCATTACGCAGGCTGAGTGTGTAGGCCCGTGTGGTTTCATGTCGTTAATTCAACTCAGAGGTCTAATGGAGAAATTGAAGGAAGCTGGGAACGGACGTGCACAGCAGAAAACAAAACAACTGATTAGAGAGAGGTTTACTAATAGATCCCGATGAGCTTAGGCTCTGTTGCAGTTTGCTATCGCCCTTGTATTTATCGCCATATTGAGAAAAGCACACTATAAATCGCCTCCCTTCAGTCAGCCTCCTGTCCCACAGAGCTTGTACAATCGCTGGAGAAGGACTGCACCCAGCAGTGCGCTGTAAATTAAACCATAAATAATTCTCTGTGTAAAGAAGTACAGGTCAGGGTGAGGGCAGCAGGGGCGCACAGGCTGCAGTTAAACTGCAGGTCCAGTAGGTGTCTCCCTTGGGTTACGACAGTAGGCACAGGGGTGGGAGGGGGGAGAGTTTCCATCACAAATATCTGGCCATGAGGAGAGTAGAGGGGGAGGGGTTTCTAGCACATGGCAACCCACTCTGCAGCATCTCCATCAATGGTAGCTGTGCAGCAGTTTGCAGTCCAAACAGCACACAAAGGCAGATCAAACACTGCATTTTCTCATTTCAATCACCGATTCAGGATGCTGCTGCTGCTGCTGTCAGGATCTTGACAGACTAAAAAAGCCGAACACATTACATAATGTTTACAGATCTCACTTCCCTCCTTTGTGACACAGAATCTACGTTTCTGAATAGACACAGATATTTAAAAATGAACAGAAACAAAATGTCTTTTAAATGTCTTTATATTGTGGGTCTGAAATGACACAGCCCCTTAAGACATCCATGCTGTTGCACTTGGTTTTGCAAATGAAAAGAAAGGGAAGTAGTTCCGCAAAGATGAAAGCACACAGCATGAAACAGAAGTTCAAACTTCCTTAACACGGCTCCACCTGTACTGCAGGCCAGAGCCTGGATAATACAGACCTACTGAGCAGTGTTTTGGGTCTGATCACTAATTGTGAACACCAGCACATAACTCCTTACTGGTAAATGTGATGTTATTTATTTGCTGGTAGGCAAATATTCTTTCCCACAGAGTCAATCTTAGGAGGTCTGCATTGAAAATTAAAGGCAGCAGAGAGATTCAACAACAAGCTCCACTCTCTGTAATAACTGTTGTTAAAATAATAATTCTGTATTCCTCCCTCTCATCACCGACAGCACACGGGTCAATCTCACCTCTGAGCGTGGCTCTATTCCCCGGTAACCGCCTTACATAATGCGACTGAGTAATTGAATTAGATGAAAGCAGGTTAAAGGAAGTGCGGTGTGGTGGTGGGAATAGACGGCATGGTGACTGAGACCACGGAGACATCCAGCCAATAAGGTGGTCACCACGAGAACCGTTTGAAGCTAGGTCATGAGGGTTGGAGAGAGGGAGGGCAGGGGAGAGCATGCAGCATCGCTGAAACGCTGCCTCAATCTGCTCCCATTCCCTCTGTTCTTTTGTCCTCAGCTCTCTCATCTTTCTCTGCTGACCTCTTCCCACCGCCGCCTTCCTCTCTCGCTTCTGTTTCCCCTCTCAAGCCACGTTTCTCTGCAGACACACACACACACACCAAACAACCCTTTCATCTGCTGCATCTTTTGATAATCATGCACCAAAACCTCTTTGGCCATTCTTTCCTTCTTTATCCTGTGCCACCTTTCAGTCAGCCAACGCCCTACTGCTACCCCTCCTTCTCACATTCATCATACTTTCTCTCCCTCTGCTCCAGGAGATATGATGCTGATGACGATGGCCACATCCATATGATCAGATTAACCTACATTTCCGCGTTGCTAGTCATCGCTCCGAACACATTCGCCCACTCTCTCATCATAATATTTCTGGCAAAGCCCTCCCTGTCTATTTTCCATGAACATGAGAAAAGACGCATGCACACACGCGCACCACTCCTCACCTCCCTTAGCAACCAGTTTAAGAAAAAGAGGGGAAAAAAAACGTCTAAATAGTTTGTGCAGGGAAAAAAATGTTAATGAAACATATATATGCAACCTGCACAGGTAGACAGGTCAGCACTTGACAACCAGGGTTAGGCACAAAAAAACAAACAAAAAGAAAGAAAAAAAAAAAGAAAAAACCAAGAGATTAAAATTGAGTCAGCATCTTTTCAGCGGTCGGCATGACGACAGCTCCTTTCATTTCACGGATCAGAAGGTTCGGTGAGGCTCATGCGCTGATAGAGATGCGAACAATTAACCTTTCGGTGTGGAGCTGATAAGGCTCAGCTAAAATGTCAGTTTGTTATGATAAACCTCCAGATAGCTTGTTGGAGAATAACAAGTCTAATAGACACAAACTGTTGCTGCCTGGATACTGCAGACAAAAGAAGGCTCCAAGTGCTAAAACAAGCTGCAGTGGACAAGTGAATTTTTGAGTTTTTGTTCCAAAATCATCTGTTTTACATGATTTAAGGCTTCTTCTTTTTTTTTTTTGTTCAAACAACATCTCTGCAAAGAACAGAGGGAGTTTCACTGCCACACACTGCCTCTCCAATCAGGTTTCCTTCTTGAAATATTAATTGAGTGAGGGGTGGATTTTGAGGACAGGGGAAGCCTGCAGCCATGTTCAGTCTCCTGTGCATAAGGGGGAGACTGTCGTAGAGCCAAGAATGAGTGTGCGGCACTCTGCTCTGCCTATCTGCAACAACGCAACTGAGAATAACTAGAATGAGCCAATCAAAAGCTTCATTTGTAAAGGACCCAAGGACCTGGTTACTTTACAGGTAAACATCAGATCACAGGGGTCGGTTTCTATTTGGGCCTCAACACGAATCAAAGTGTGAATGCGAACACAGACGCAGAGAGAAACTTTTTTTAGTTTTGATCTTTTCTTTAAAGCACATGGAGACATTCCCAGACTATTTAAGAATGTGTGTGTATGCGTATGTGTGTGTGTGCCTCTCAAATATCACCAGGTCAGTGCATGCAGCTGCACACACTAGCAGGAGAGACGGATCAGAAACATGTTTGTTGCATGTGCTGCTACTGTCAGTGTATGATGTGATTTGTGTAACAAGCCGTTTCAGGTGGGTACCACATGTACCTTTGCTTCACCTGGCTGTGCTCAGTCTCAGTGGTCAGTGCCTCACTGCAAACTGTGTGGTTCTTCTAGAAAAGGGGTGTCGAACTCCAGGCCTCGAGGGCGGGTGTCCTGCAGGTTTTAGATCTCACCCTGGGTCAACACACCTGAATCAAATGATTAGTTCATTACCAGCCCTCTGGAGAACTTCAAGACATGTTGAGGGGGCAGTTTAGCCATTGGAATCAGTTGAGTTGGATCAAGGACACATCTAAAACCTGCAGGACACCCGCCCTCGAGGCCTGGAGTTCGACACCCCTTTTCTAGAAGCTCCGTGCAGTCTCTATACTCACAAGCGTAAATGATTAAGTGCATACTTGACAGATCTGTGGACCTATTACACTCCAGTCTTACGTCTTGACTCCAACAGACTTCCATTGAATAGATTATTCATATTTCATTAACCAGTTACGACAGAGAAACATATCTGCCTGTAGCAATCAATTCCACAGCAGTGCATGCAACATAATGATTTTTGCTGGAATTTTTTCTAGAGTGGAGCAAAGTTGCTACTGTTATCATGCACAGTGCTATACAAATGAGCTGATGCAACAGAGTGGATGAATTCGAAGATCTGGACCTAGGCATGTTAACTGCTCCTGTAGCTGAAAGACAACCATAATGTTATTAGCAGGTTGGACTAGTCACAGCATACATCAGCACTTCAGTTTTCGCTCCACTCCATCTTTACGCATCAGTTCAATCAGCATGTATGTAACCACCTAACATGTTCTCACTGGTTCTTTTGGATGCCCAGAGGTTAGTTTATGGTGGTTATGGACACCCCTGGCGCTCCATTGGCTAATAAAGTTAGAGTCATTTAATATTGTTTTAAATTAACAAACTTCTGTGGGTTTAATTCACTGCAAAGTTTCACTGTTTAAAGTGCTGGTATAACTATGCCTTTTCTCTAAGAAATACTCAGTGCAAAGGATTGTCTAACAGAGTAACAGATTGCAACAAAGAATCTGAATGCGCATGCTGGGGGAAGTTAAAGGCCACCGATCTGCACAGGAGGACAGACTCCCAGACCCCCCAGGAATGTGTCCAGTCTGGGTCATACCCCCCCCCTACTGTTCAACTCCTTTTGCTTTTCATTTTCTGCCAAACTTGGAGTCAAACTTTCACTAAAAGCTGCGAGCCAGCGTGTGTGCTCTCCGATCAAAGTGTGAGACACGCAGCCAGACTTGTGGGAAAGGACGACAGAGCCGTGCTGCAATCTGTTACCCACACAGCCGTCCAATAAAAAAGGAAGAACAGGATGTGATGGATTTTGCGTACGCTCCTGAGAGAGAACTGGAAGG